GGAGTAGAATTGTGGAATGTGTTGTTGGCATTCTTTTCTAAAAGCCCAAGATTATCTTTTGTCTCCGCACCTCTGCACCTGACCGGAACCAGCTGGGTGGAGATGCCAGCGTCGGCAAAGAAGTTTGGACCATGTAATGGATTTATGGGTGTGGGGATAAAATCACTTTCAACAGGGTGGAATCCCAGGAAGTTTCAGATTTTGGATTCCACAGATGTACCAAGATGTCTGACTTATTAAGGATAGTTTACTTTAAGGATAGTTTTGCCTTGGACTCTGATTTAATTCTGCATGATACTTGGAACGTTGACATTAGGAATGTTATTGCACAGAAAATTAAATTCTGCATACATCACCTTAAGTTTTGGAAAAACATAAATTTAGCAAATATATAAAACAAATATATTTCTATGTTCCTCTGACACATCTTGGGAAAATATTTTCTGCAATAAATAAGTATGCCTACTACTCTGCTAATCAAAACTTTTACTTGATATCCTATTATCTGTCTCTCATGTATACACTATCTCCCAATTTATGTCAAAATGTCCGTAGACTAAGTTGATGCAGCTTCCTCCATCTCCCCAAAACTCACCTCAGTTTTGTCGTCCTCTTCATCTGGCTCATATTCCTCATTACAGCTGGAAGGCATGTTTAGAGTTGTGTGGCTTTGCCTCTCACTAATGCTAGAAGTAGTAGCATCAGTATTCCCAGCCAGCAAATCCATGGCTTCATTAAATTCTGCAGAGAAAATATCAATTTCATCCAATTGACTCAAATCAAACTTCAGTCTGGCATTCAAGGGCCACCTGCAACAACACTTTCTAAACTTTGGAAATTTTGCTATGCGTACTAAATTAAAAATAATGTTAAGTATTTAAGAAGCATGTGACCAAAGGCAGAAAAAGAACCAGAGCTTTGGCAGACAACTTAGATTTTTAAGGGGAAAAAAGTAGGACATTAGAAGATATTTCTTCGGAGATTGTTGGGAGAAATCCTAGAAATGTTAACGATGCCCAAAGAAGAAAAAACTATCCACAAAGTTTGAGTTTTCTTTTTGTCTAAATGTAAGACTTAGAAATTAAAATTCTCCACAAATACGCACACACATAAAAATATCACTCAATATTTGTCAAAATAGTGGGAAAAAGGAGCTACATTTATATTTACAGAAACAGGATAATTTTATCCATGCGTACTATCCCAAGAGTTATATTTCCCTTTCAATTCTACTAAAGTCATTATCTTACACATTCAGAAAAATCTGAATATAGTGCTGCTTAAGAGTATGACATGGAAAACACACAAATATAATAAGAGTTTTGACTAAAGTACTGTATTTCATATTCAAAGAACATTCTTCTATAGGTTTAAGACTGCAGCTTTCTCTGTACTTTAACTTAGTCTAGTATGTATTTTTAGCCCCACTAAATTCTATAGTTATACAGCTCTTTTTTTAGAGCTCTGGTGGTACAGTGTTTAGAATGTAGTATTGCAGTCTAACTGCCCACAGGCCTGAAGTTTGATCCTAAAGGACTCAAGGTTGAATCAGCATTCCATCCTTCCGGGGTCAGTAAAATGAGGAGCCGAGTTGTTTGGGGGCAATATGCTGACACTGTAAACTGCCAGAGAGTGCTATAAAGCACTATGGAGCAATAAAGTGCTATTGCCATTATTACTGTTTCAGTCCTTAATAGAAGACAGGTCCTCAGAAGCTAGGCAGTTCTTGCATTACAACCATTCATTCAGTGACTGAAGTTACAACAGCACTGGACAAAGTGAGTTACGGTATGTCTGGTTTTCATCCCCAAAGTCACATGATCAAAATTTGGGCGCTTGGCATGTGGCAGGTATTTATGTCAGTTGCACTGTCCTAGGGTCATGTGATCATCATTTGTAACCTTCCCAACCGGTTTCCAACAAGCAATATCAATAGAGAAAGCCAGATTCATTTAACCACACAATTTACTTTACAACTGCAGTGAGAGGTTTAACAACTGTGGCAAAATGGGGCAAAACTCAACAACTGTCTTGCTTAGCAATGGAAATGTTGGGCTCAATTGTGATCGCAAATTAAAGACTATTATTTACTAACTGGATTGTCTGGGATGACAAGAGTGCTTCTAGTGTAGCCACTACATGGCATAATCGAGGCATCTCATAAACAACAAAACCTAACAGAAGAGAAAACATTGGTTAACTAGGTGTCCATATCTGTTTAAATGGTGAGAAAATACTCACCATGAAAATTGAGCTCCTCTGAAGCAGCCATTATGAGGCCAGAGTACCTACAAAGGGAAAGACAGCTTTTCAGAGAAGACACGACTATGAAAGGCAGCTGGGTGGATGGGGCAGAAGACACCTTTCAGGCGGTCGGTTCTCTTTTCCTTCATCCACAGAAACGCCGAGCGATTCTCACAAGGGCTACGCTCCCATGACAAACCAGGCTTGCCCTCCCCTGCCCTCCCGTACTGATCCCCTGGGAGAGGCGGAAGGATGAGAGGAGGATGTCAGGCGCTGCTTACCGACTGTGAAAAGGCACTCTGCAGATGCTCAGAGACGCCGAGGGCTACACTATAGCCCCCTGTCGCCACTCTAGCCCCCTGTCGCCACCCGCTTGCGAAACCGTCTGTTTATTCCACGGTTCCACGTCGTTCGTAGGACTGCCTCAACCTCCCTACGTGGAGTGGGACGGGAAGGAGAGGAAGACCCAGCCCACAGCCAAGCCACGGAAGGCCTATCGAGGAATATTATCCGAGACTCCTCCTCTACCGGAGGCGGCCGCGGTTTCGTCACGGGGCACCTAGGTTATCCTTCCCCTGCCCCAGTTGAGGCCACTGGAAGCGGGGAAAGGCGGACCTTTCTTGAAGACGCTGAAGCCTTGTATTCCGCGCCTGCTTATTTGGTGGCAGAGTATCTTCCTGTTTATGAACCTTTATAAACAGTTGTGAATGTAAAACTGTCGAAACGGCCCTACCTCCGGCCTTTTTCCGACAACCCCCCCCCCAGCTGTCTCCCTATACGGTCCTAATTGCCGGCGTAGAGACGCCAAAATGACATTTTGCCTTCGGGGGAGGGACTACCGGCAGCAACCACGTGACATGCGGCCCTTTCCCTCACAGTCCTGACTTCCTCTTGGTTACCGTTTTTGGCGGTCCGGTCGGGTTTGGCGTCCGGTCGCATTTCAGGACGAGCGGACATGATGGAACCTCCGAATCCCGGAGAGACGGGGGAGAAGAAGAAGAGTTTTGGGGGCCGTCTCCGCACCGGCCGCCTAGGTAGCCGAAGCCGCTTTGCTCCTCGCAGGCCGCAGAGGGAGCCTGTTTGAGGCGCGCCTGCCCCTTCCCCAAACTTTCTTTCCCGCTCCTCTTAACGTGATGTTTTCTCTCTCCTTAGCCTTGTGGTGGAAGAGTCTCCTGCACGACTATGCTGAAGCCTGCCGAGAAGTCGCCCAAGGCATCCGGCAGCGGCCGGTGAAAGCAGGGCTCTACTTATCGCTGCTGGCTGGAACGGTGAGCTGCAGCCTCCGCAACCCCAGTGAAGCCTCATTCGACTCCAGCCTCCTGGAAGCCTCGGGAACTCTCCTACTCCTCTCGCCCTGGACGCGCAGCAGCAGCTCAGAAAAGCATACCCAGCGGCTGATGGTGCTGCGAAACCGAGGCCAGCTGCGGGTCCAGAACCTCGTGTTTTTCTCCCTCCTCTACGAGGCGCCTTACGACGCCGGAGCAGACCTCTATCAAGCGCACTGCAAGTATCTGAAGCCACGGTGGACTGATTTTCCCAGCCGAGTCCTCGATGTGGGCTTCTGGGGGCGCTGGTGGGTGTTGCACTCTAGAATGCAAAATTCAGACATTAACAATGAAGAGTTTCAGTACCTGCCAGAGCATCTCAGGACCATTTCTTTTAATGACTTGCACTCAGAAACCAACGAGAAACTTTTTGATGAGAAGTACAAAGCTGTGATTCTGACAGAAGAGCAAATCCAAAAAGCTGACAGGGAGAATCAAGGGCAACTGCACTCTTAATTAAAGCATTTGGGTGATTAATATAGTAATAGAAAACAAACCAAGGTACTTCGTTTATTCATATTTCTATTTTTTCCCCAGGACTCAACTATTCATTGCTGCATTCTTGATAGGCTTAGATGCAAAAATAAATGCTATCCAAGACTGAGGAGACGTTCGGTGAGCAATTCTTAGTGCCGCCTAACGTGATTGAGAAATTGATAATAGTTATCTCTTGGTAGTCATTTTTTCTCTAAATGTCATGTAAAACTTTGTGCAAATTGGAGAACAAATAGTTCAATCCAACACCTTTTCTCCGATCTCATAGTGTTTCCTGCCCATATTATAATCTCCCCATATCACTAAGGAAAGTTCCATACTATTTGTTCCCTATCAGAAATGCTCAGCTTCACTTCAGTTTCTGTTTGGATTCTGCAAAAAGGCAAGGCAATATGATTTCCAAGCCCCAACACATTTTTTCTTTACAAACCAGCACATTAGCTTAAAAAAATATTGTAGAGACTTTCATTTTGTTACATTTCAGTTACATTTACTGTAAAATTAAAGCTTAATACAGTCTGCTTCACTTTCAAAATATTATTTTTTATAAATCTGTTCCAAGTCTTTTCTATGTATTTTTCCAAGATGTAAGTAACAGATTATCAAATTTCTTTAACTCCTTTGTAGATTTTCTATACATTGCTGAATAATGTGAATATTAATGTTTTCTAAAACCCTGTTGGTCAGCAATCTGACGATTCTAATTATTGTCTGAAAGGAACATATGTTGAGATGGCAAAATTACAGTTTTGTACAGTTTGCCTCAGCAGGCCTTGGCCAGTGAAAGTTATACAGGAAACCCCTAGCCCAGGGGTGTCAAACTCAAAGCCCAGGGGCTGGATCCAGCCCTTGGGGTGCTTAGATCTGGCCCGGGGGCTCCCCTGGAAACAGCGAAGAACCAGCCCATAGTGGCTCTGCCAGGGAAAACGGAGCTCAGCAAGGCCTTGTGCAGCCCTGCCGAGCTCCATTTTCCCTGGCAGAGGGTTATAGGAGGCCATTGCCGCTGAAACTAAGCTCAGGAGTCTGTTTTTGCTGGCAGAGTGTTCAAGCCATCACAGGCTCCCCCAACACAGGTAAAGTCGAGCTGGCCATGCCCCCCCCCCCGGCCTGCCCCTCCGCAAGGTCAATCACAACCCTGATGCAGCCCTCAGTGAAATCGAGTTTGACATCCCTGCCATGGCCTGTGGGTTAAGCATGTGACCCAAACCATAGAAGATGTGCTTGACTTATTTTTATAATTTCTGCCTTTCTATACCTTATTTGTCGCATGCCAGCTTCCTTTTATGTAATCAAGCGAAAACAAAGAAAGGTAAATATCTGCCTTATGCTATGTTCAGGCTTCCTCCAACTTTAGGAGGATCCATCTTTATTCAGCTGAATAAATGTTGGCTTATCAAGACAAACCTGGAGACATTTTCTTTTTTCACTGAGTCACACCTGGAAACTTACATAATAACCCCAGAGGGATTTCCAGAAGGCAGAGGTTGCTGAAATTAGCAACTATCCTCCCTAATTTGAGTGTACAACTTTGGATATTGGGAACTGCATCTCTTAGGACAACATATGGATCTGTTTAAAATGTCATGTTTCTTAAATATTTTGACATGGCACTCATGGCTTTTTTGAGTGGGGTGCTATGTAAATTACTTCATGTAGTTAGCTGAGCTATTTTCAGAACTGTCACAGTTCGTTGATCTGCATTGTTTGATTTGTGGTTTTAAGTACAATTAAAAACAAGTGGGGAAAATAATGCTATAGTAGAAAATTAGTTTGCTAAAAAGAACTCAAAACATACATTATGAAAAATATTAAAGAAAAAGTGACATGGAATAACAACAGCCCTATTCCTCTTTGTAAAATTGAAAAGTATTCTCTCAAGATTGTATCATTAATATATGTGTATGATTTTAAATTGGTTTGTAGGCATGCTGCTAAGTTTTTTCTGCCAGTTGGGAACTTACAGCACGAAAGTAATATTAAATAGGTGAGATAAAATGACAATATAACATGGTATTTCTATAATAAAATATAATAGGAGAGTCAGTCTGGTGTAGTGAAGGCATCAGGCAAGAAAGCTGTGAATCACAGATTAAATAATTATCTCATATATACTAGTAGTTTAATCCCAGATTAGATAGAAAGCCAACTGAGTATCCTTGGGGCTGCAATAGCAATAATCTGGGTCCTCGTTTTACCAACCTTGGAAGGATGGAAGGCTGAGTCAAACTTGAGCCCATCAAGATCAAACTCCTGGCTGGAGGCAATCGTGTATGCTAACCACTGCACCACCACAGCTCTTCAGCCCTAGGAAGCAAGCAAGGGAAAAACACTTCCAAAATCTTACCAAGAAAACTACAGAAACTGTTCCTCGCTGCTACCAAGAGTCAAAAACAGAGTCAAAAGCACACACAAAAATCCCCACACCTAATACAATTGCAAGATTTACATAATGAACCCAAAGTCTATTGTTCAAACATATAGTATAGATAGGGCAACAGCTTATGAAAGGTGAATAGGGCCACTTCTTACTTCATTGTTGGCTTCTGGTCCTATCCAGAGATTTTCTTGTAATTTTCCACAGATTTATATAGACAAGTGAGAGGGAAGAAATGGCAACATTTCTTGTAACAGTTTATGTATATAGCAGTGATGGGATACGACCAGTATGCCCTGGTATGGGCGTACCGGTGCCTGCTGGGAGCACCAGGTACTCTTCCGATACGGTGCTCTGGAGGGCCCGCCTGCTGTCCTTACCGTATTTGAAGCGATCGGGGTATTTGCACATGCACACGGAGCGTACGGCACCTGCACAACGCTCTGCCGAGCAGCTGAAGCATCGCCGGCAGTGGGTACGTATGCACGTGCTGCATCCGTGCACGTGGTGGGTGCCCGGCCCCATTGCAGCCACTTGCAACGGGATCCGGAACCCATCACTGATATATAGATATAGATTAATATTGTACACCCATCTGTATTGCAGTAGAGTCAGGTGCAATAGAGTCAGGTGGTATGTGGCGGCAGCCAAAAAAACCAAATGGGCTGCATTAATAGAGGGATAAAGAATCAAGATCAAAGCCTTAGTAAGACCACACATGGAATACTGCATCAGGTTCTGGTCATCACAATATAAAAAAAGATGATGAAATTTTGGAAAGAGGGCAGAGAAGAACTAGAATGATTAGGGGGCTGGAGGCTAAAACATACGAAGAATGGTTACAGGAATTGTGTATGTCTCGTGTCTAATGAAAAGGACTAGGGGAAACATGATAGCAAGGATCCAATATTTGAGGGGCTTCTACAAAGACAAATGGGGGTCAAACTATTTTCCAAATAAGAGAAGGCAAGACAAAAAATAATGGATGGAAATTAAGCAAGGAGGGAAGCAACCTAGAACTAAGGAGAAATTTCCTAATGGTGAGAGCAAACAACCAAAGGAATAACTTGCCTTCAGAAGTTGTGGGTATTCCATCATTGGAGGCTTTCAAAAAGAAACTGGACAACCATTTTTCTAAAATGTTATACGGTCTCCTACTTGAGCAGGGGGTTGGACTAGAAGACCTCCAAGGTCCCTTTCAATTCTATTATTCTATTTTCTGTGTTCTAATAAATTAAATAAAGCATACCCATAAAGTGGCAGCAATTGGAAATGAGAAAAAGGCAGCTGTAGTTACAGAATTTGTAGCCAGATGGCAGAGGTGGTTGCTAAAAAGGGGGGGAAACTACACCTGTAGTAAGCAATCTGAAGAGAGGATTTCCTCTCTCCCCCCACTTGTCTATACAAATCTGTGGGAAATTACAGGAAAATGTCTCTGGATAATACTAGAAGCCAACAATGAATTACTTGAAAGTAAGAAGTGGCCCTAGTTCAGCCCTGTCTGTACTGTATGTTTGAACAGTAGGGAAATGATCCAAGCTAGGAAATGGGCAACACAGATTGAAATCTGGAAGTAGCAAATTATTGCTGACATCAGCAAATATAAAATATTGCACCTTGAAAATTATAATTTTCTGTGTTCAATGAATATTTTCTTGTTCTCTCAAGGATCTTGGGCTGGGTCTATCTCTCATCTGAATGTCCCTCCCATCCAGGGTACTTGGGGAGTTAGTAAGGGATCCCAGGCAAACTGTCTTGGCCAGATTTAAAGTAAATGAGATGGGAGGAATAAATATTGATCAATATCACATATGTAAACTATGGAGACTGATAGGTACTGTATGTTAAGTATGTGTGTTTTGGGTTTTCAATTAATGTTTTGTGTAAACTCAACCAGCTGTGTTTCATTCAGTAAACCATGATTTAACATGATCTGAGAATCTGGGTAAAGGTCAAATTCCTTTATCCAGGTCAAATACTTTCTTCATGTCTCTTCAAAATTCTCCATTTTTTCATTCACTGCTATCAAAATCACTAAGCATCCATCAATTTCTGAGGAAGATGTATAGTAGAAAACAAAAGGTAACTTATTTCATTGACTTCTCCCAAAAGTATTTTCAGGCCCTGTGTCACATATCCTAGCACAGGAAATTTCATATTTTATCTCTGCATATTAAAAACAAACTCCAAGAGCATCCAAGAATAACATTGCAGCAAGCAGACTATCCAGTGGTGTGATTCAGCTAGTTTGCACTGGTTCAGGTTGTTAAATTACCCACCCCCACCCCCCTATCAAAGTGGATCCTGGGCGCTGGACTGCAATGGAGAAACGGACAACAGAGCGGCCAATGTGAGGGAAGAAGAAGGCCGCTTTCCCTCCTCATTCCCTTGTGCCGGCTGCTCTGTTTCTCCAGTACAGTGTCCAGGATCCACTTTGGGGAGGGGAACTTCCACTAGGCCAATAAGATCCCATAGACTAGGCCTCCTCCGAATTCCATCAGCCGGTCAATGTTGACTGGCAACTACCCGGAGGAGAGCCTTCTCAGTGGCTGCTCCGACCCTATGGAACGAACTCCCTGTGGAGATTCGTACCCTCACCACCCTCCAGACCTTAAAACCTGGCTGTCCCAACAGGCCTGGGGCTAAAGACTTCAACCCCACCTGAATAGTATGACTGTTGTGCTTCTTAACGATGTATTGTCTTTATGTGTATAACTTGTTTTGTACTTCCCTCCCCCTGAATTGTGAGCCGCCCTGAGTCCCCTCAGGGAAAAGGGCGGCATACAAATAAAACTAAAAAAAAAAAAAGAATTTAACAACTGGTTTGCCCAGGGTCGGGTTGGCCATCACGGGAGGCTCATTCTGCATGTGCAGCGGAGCTGAGGGACAGGGATGGGACATGCCTCCCATAACAGCCAACTTGACCCTTGGCAAACTGGTTGTTAAATTATTTGAATCCCATCACTGACCTGTCTGCAGAAATTAGTGGTCAGGAACCTTGAAAAGCATTCTTCATATTCTTTTTCTTTGAATGCTCTTTCTTCTGTAATAGTAGCAGTAGTAGAAGTCACAAACTCAGAACACATGGGATAAAAAAGCCTGTGGTTGCACTTAATTGCAGATTGCTGTTAGCAATGCCTACTGTATATTCTACAGACTGGAATTGTAAACTTAGCAATAGAAAAAATTGTTTTAGGGTCTTTATCTGCCAGCAGTAGTACATAAAATTATTGTGTTCATTTGGGAAATGAGCAAATTATAAATATCTTATTCAAGGAAGATGGAACTAAGATGGAAGGAATATATTGAAACACAGTACAATAGAGATGCCAACTTTCAATAAATCGTATAAAACGTTAACCTACTTACAAGAACCTCTAATTCTATAAGATAAAGTTTGATTAGCACTCTGTTCATTACCAATTGGAAGGCTACAAAAAGTGATGGAATACAACTGAAATGTGGCATGTAATAGAACAAGGATCAATGAAGGTTCTATCCAAGCTATTATATGCCAGCAAATCTGGAGAGTGACACAGTAGGAACAGATTGGAAGAGGTCAATTACCAAAATACCAAAAAAAAAAGTTATCAGAGTGTGCAAACTATTGTACAATCAATTTGATTGGGTGGATAACATCATACTGTGGAACAACTCATTGTCCCAATGAGAAATATATACAGAAGTCATGAAGCCACAGAACAGCCAGAACGTGATGAGAAAGACTTGCTCCTGCTTGGCAAAAGAGTGTGCATAATTTCCCCTTATTTAATTAACCTTTATGCTGAATATTAATTGGATTGAAAGATTAGTATGGCTTTAAAACTGGAGGAAGAAATGTGAATAATCCATACTGAGGACTATACCCTGATAGCCAAAAAAGCAAAGGACCTGTAAACTCTAATTATAAAAAGCAAAGGAGCACAGTGAAAAACTGGGCTAAAATTAAATATAAAAAGACCAAATTAATGGTTAACAGGTAGAACATCTAGTCTTAGAACTGACAATGAAGATATTGATGTGGT